TGCTGATCGTTTTATGGTGAAGTAACCACTCATGCGTCATGAGTCCGGAACGTCCACTGAGGAACATGAACAACTTAGTGCAACGCAAGGCGTGGTCGGGGTCGAGGATAGTGCTTCAGTACGATCGGTAATTTGGCATGTAACCACCCTAAATTCGTGGCACAAAGTGGTGTTGTTGAGCTGGGTCCACCGCGGACTCGAAGAGGGCGAACGCTAAGTGGTGTATCGCTAATCAGTGCATCTGAAGCGTGTTCTGGTTGGGTCTAACGGATGACTTTCTATGACTGCTTATTCGGCGAACTGAATCCCATCTCATGCGCGGTTTGTGGCACAAGTGGCCACCGTTCTGCTATCCTTGATTGGGAAACGCGCGTAGGCTCTCTCCTAGTTGGGCCGATTCGTATTAGAGCGCAGTGTTCGAAAATTCATTGACCTGAAATTTGCATTGCTGCAGATTTGACTTCTCTATGCATAGAGTGACCTCATTATGTGGGAAATCAATAAGCTAATCCGGGAAATTTACTGTACTTCTCTGCTGATAGACCGAACATCTTCAAAACCGATAGAATTTGTTCACTCCCCGTGGTCGGTCATCGCGCAGAATAATCAGGACCGCGCTGCCCTTTGCATCGAGCGGGGTGGGTAGTGATATGTAGTCTACTGCTCAGACACCCCAACTTTTGTTTAACTCTTTGTCTTCCGTACCCATCCCTCTCCGTTTTCCCCTTCTTCTGACCTGTAATAGTCCCTCAAGCAACTTGGATGTCGCTCGCCAAAGGTCGTTGCCAAATAGCACTGTAAATAGTTTACCTGTGAACAAAGTGCAGATTTTGAAGTCTCGTCAACCTCTCAATCTGGGTGCCTTCAACATGAACACTGATGTAAGTGGATCAATAAGCGTTCCTTGAGCGTACAATGAAGCCACTTGACTGCGTCAGGCCTGTCCTCGAGGTACTTCCTTCGCACATCAGGAGACGAAGCCCTCTCTTTGGGTCAACAGCGTGTTGGAATCGTACTCAGCAGTAAAGCTGAGGCCTCACTGATTGATTGGATGCCTGTCAATAGTCGTTGGTGCGCAACGAGGCTCCAGGGTTCAGTTAGTGTTCGGAAAGGCAGTAACACCAAATGTGCTTGTTCATCATTTCCGCAAATGCACCAATCAACTGCAGTCCCAATTCACCAAACTCGCAGAACTCATTCAGTTGAGCCGCAGCTCTGACATTATAGTGCTAGCAGGTGATTTTAATGCATAGGTTAGAAAACAGTGTATCCTGAAGCCTGTCTAGGAGGGCACTTCTCTCTTCCCGCCCAGCGAGCAAACAACGGTAATCGACTACTTCAGTTCTGTGCGGATCATCGGTTGTTTTTATCTAGCACCAACTTTCGACATAGCTCTCGTCAAATGGCAACATGGTGCTGTAGTTCAGCCGGCAAGTTAACCCTAATTGGCCACAACTGTCAGCTACCGTTGGCGAGATTCTGTACAGACTTGCAGGTTACTTGTATTAAGTCTCATAACGCACTAGTTCTGGTGCGCTTAACTCTTCGACTCATCGGTCGTCGTCAAAAATCGCATCCTCAGTTAGCTCATCATCGTCTGCGCTATCCATCTGTCCACGCCCGTTATGAGGATAAGCTGAGACAGGACCTAGGAGAACCGTGACATAGTGGAATAGACCAGCAGTGGGATCAAGTAAGATTTGCGATGCACTCAGCGGCAAACTTTCCTTGTTGGACCGAACACGAAGTTGCCGAAGACATTGGATCTCTCAGCAGTCAGTAATCCTGATGGAACAAAAGCGAAAGATTCCAATCTGCCAGGATCAAGATAGAGACCGGTAGAACCTGCAACGTCAACTCAAATCAAATAACTCAGGAAAAGCCTTAAGAACGATCGCGAAAACTGGTGGGCCAAAATAGGTAGTGAAATGGCGGTAGCTTCTGCATCACGGAATAGTCAAAGGCTGTTTCACCTGACATGCAGTACCGGAAGTCGACGCATACCGGTCAGTGAGACTATCTGCGATAAAAGTGGACAGAGTATCCACAATGAAGAAGAATGACTTGATCGCTGGGCAGAGTATTTTAGTGAACAGTTCAATTGGCCTGGTGCTAATGTGGTTCTTCTGGCATTTGCAGCGGAGACTCCATGGGTGGTAACATGTGAGCCTCCAACAGAATTAGAAGTACAAAGCTGCATTCAATCATTAAAGAAAGGGAAGGCTGTGGGACCTAATGGACATCTCCCCATTCTTCTCCAGCTATGTGGTGATTTTCTCGTCGATTAGATTACTGTGTAACTCCGCAGCCTCTGGTCGGATGAGCGTGTCCCTTCATCCTGGGGTAAATTGTTGATCGTTCCGATCTTCAAGAAGGAATCACCCAACGACTGCGCAAATCATCACTGGATTAGTTTAGTTCCGATCATCACAAAAGCGTTGACTTCTGTGATGCTTTGCTGCTTGACACCCCTAAGGGAGAGGAATATCCGTGAACAGCAAGCCGGACTCCGACCAGGTCGCGGGTGCTTCGACCAAATCTTCACCCTGCGTCAAGTCCTCGAACTGCGTCACACACATCGTTGGCCAGCAATCGCACTGTTGCTTGACCTAAAAGGAGCCTTCGATTCAGTTGACCGTGAATCCCCAATGGGTGCAGTGCTTCGTAAAGTAATACCAGTTCAGTTTAGTTCAG